ATATCTCCTCTCCCTTCCTCCGATTCACTGAGATAGAAAGCAGAAAGTTTTTGAGCTTATGAAAATCAATAGCTATTTAATAAATACTAATTGGGGGCTTTCCTGGTGGCGCGGTGGTTGAGAGTCCACCTGCTGATGCAGGGGACACGGGTTCGTGTCCTGGTCCGGGAAGATCCCACATGCCGCAGAGCGGCTGCGCCCGTGAGCCATGGCTGCTGAACCTGCGCTCCACAATGGGAGAGGCCACAACAGGGAGAGGCCCGTGTATTGCAAAATAAATAAATAAATACTAATTGATTTTTTTAAAAAAAGCTTAGAAGGTAACTAATAAATTAATTATGTTTAGAAAAGAGCAATAATACACAAATCTAAGGTTCCTGACAAAAGTCTTTGTCAACTAAACTGGATGATGGTAAATGCAAAATCCTTTGTTTCCCTTGGACTCCTCCAGGTGGGAAGGAGAGGAGTAGAGAGCTTTGGAACTTCTTGGAAACAACAGGCGTGTGTGGGACAAGTCCATTCTTTGGTTCCCGCCTGCCCTCTCGCCATTTTTCCTTTTACTTATGAGATCTAGTACTCTCTCCTCTAAGAGATTTCAAGTCAACTTCCACTGATCCTGGTCCAACTGAGCTTAACTATTTTATAACTGACTTTATTTTTTAGAGCAGTTTCAGGTTTACAGAAAAACAGAGCAAAAAATAGAGCTCCTATATACCCTTACTCTCCCACTTCAGTTTCCCCGCCAATGTTGATACACTAGGTGTACATAGTAACACTGGGGCTCACTCCTTGTGTTGTACAGAAAGTTTGTTTATTTGTTTTTTCGGCCGAGCTTCATGTTATGTGGGATCCCAGTGCCCCGACCAAGGATCGAACCCGCGCCCCCAGCACTGGAAGCGCGGAGTCTCAACCACTGGACTGCCAGGGAAGTCCCAGAAAGTGTTAATTTTTAATTGCCCTATAGTGATCATATATTCTGTGAGACTGCATTATATCTTCTTTATAACAAATAACAATCTGCCTAGACACCAAACAAAGATTTCTCTCCAATTTCTCAGTGTTCCCATGTTAACTTTTCCCTAAGCAGGTAGGGGGAGCTAGAGAGCAAGGTTTAAAGAAGAAAAACGTTTAAGTTATTATCTCTTCATCGAGATTGTTGCTTTACTGCACCCTAAGAGAAGTTTTCATAGAGTAATACAGGTGGTATGCAGTGGTGCATATGCATACGCTCTGTGAAGAAGTCTGAACAAGTAAAAAAGACATCAAGAGAGCAAACAACAGTAGTTTTGGACCTGGCTAGCCTAGGACATAGTCAGGAAGGAGTGCTCTAGCGCAGAAGGAAAAAAGTGACTTCTTTAGTTTAATGGACTCCAACAGGGTTTCTCTAACCCCTTGAGGGAATGCAGTTATGAGGGAACACCAACAGGGATGACAGGACATAGAATTTTGTCAACATGCTATTTTCTTGGTAGAAAAGAAAGAAATAAAGTCTATGGTGGGGTCAAAGCCAGCTGTCAATGTCTCTCTGGCATCCCAGCAGCACATCCTTCAATTCTGCCAGGGCTCCAGGAATCTACATTTTGTTAACAGGGCCCAGAAGACGGTCACTGAGTCACCTTGCGGGCCTGCTGCTGCCCTGGGTGTGTGATACACACAAAGGAAGAGCCATGCCGGTTAATCCAGCAATTCTTGTTCACCCATCAGGGCATTCCCGATTCACGGCCAAGTCCACCCCTGAAATTGTCTAACACTTGCAAATGCTCTTTTATTTCCAGCCAGCTACATATGGCCTATGCGACTGGCCTGACCAAGCCAAAGCACGGCTATCCCTCAGCCAGTTGGCAGCAGGTATGTCTACAATCTGTGGCAATGAAGACAGCACTTCAGTGAAGCAGGCATCTTCCCCAGACAGGACTCCCTGGAGCCAACTGGGAGCCTGGGCCCCAGCACCAGATGCTCTTGAATGCCAACTTTCAGCCTGCGGCCAGGGCCCAGCATCCAGGGGTAGTTCATTCAAAGCACTGCTTTTATTCCTGGTTTAGTTACTTTAGCTCTTGCCTATGTATAACAGTCAATGTTTCTCCCTTACGAGGGGGCCACAGAGGTTATCCTTTAAACAACCAGCACATTCAAAACACTGAAAACTAAACACAGAAGAAAAATGAGCATTACAATGTAAAAACTAATATATGTACTTATATTGAAGTGAAATGGCAATAACTAAATGGTCACGAGGGACTCTTTCCTTTAGACAGAAACACAGACTGACTTACCCTCCCATCTTGCAGTCCCCGGTCCCACCTTTCCAGGCTCTTACGTACTTCGGATTGGCCCACAGGGACACTGGATTAAAGCTCCCACTTGAAAAATAAGGTCCCACTGGGCTCAAGATTACAAAGAGCAGGGCTTTAGTAGGCTTCTTGACTCCCAGAGAAGGCTGTAATAAAGCAAAAGTACACACAGCTGTTAATTTAAAATGCAGACACCAGTCTCAAAGTCTAGAAGAGATCTGTAACCATCTCCCAGAAGGGACTACGGACAGCTGTTACTTCTAACTGCACTTTTTTTTTTTTTGCGGTACGCGGGCCTCTCACTGCTGTGGCCTCTCCCGTTGTGGAGCACAGGCTCCGGACGCGCAGGCTCAGCGGCCATGGCTCACGGGCCCAGCCGCTCCGCGGCATGTGGGATCTTCCCAGACCGGGGCACGAACCCGCGTCCCCTGCATCGGCAGGCGGACTCTCAACCACTGTGCCACCAGGGAAGCCCCGGACACCTGTTACTTCTAAAGCTGAGTTACACAAGCCTGATGGTCTTCTCTTTCAAGAAGAGAACACCGAGAATGGGGTACTTTGGTTCCATTTTACTTTGCTTTCTAAGTTAAGATTTTAAAGGAAAAGCAAATTTGTCAACTTTTTTAATAGTAGGCTTTTTCAGAGGAGTATATTTTTAACAACTAGCCCTATAACACTTTTCAGTGTTGCACTGATTGGGAACTGAAAAAGGGAAGAACCTAGACATGATTTCAGTCTTTGGGGGTGAAACCTAATATCTGCTTCTCTAACTTGCTCTTCTGCTTCTGGACGTGCCAGTGCCTCCCGCAGGCAGTGGGCTCGGGGGAGTGTGCCATTAGCACACCTGACTGTGAGAGACAGCGGACAGCAGGAGCGCAGCTGCACCAGAAGCAAAGACGCCAGACAAGGTAACCGCCCGCCCCAAAAAAAGACAAGAGGATGAAGGACTCAGGAATTCGTGTCAGGAATGACAAAGATAGAAAATGGCCTCTCCCACCAATACTGGAAAATCACAAGCCAACGATGCGAAATCATACAAATTCCTCCAGCACAGAAGCGGTTCTAAGTAATTACTGCCAGTTGTTTTTTGAGGAAAACTGAGAGACTGAAAAGTTCTGAGGGCTACGTATTATAAAGGCAAAAAAGGCCACTGGGCTATCCTGTGCAATTCAAGACCACACAAGTAAGAAAACAAGTCAGGACTCTTACATTAAGTATTGGGATGTAAAATACTTGTGTCTAGTCTTCAAAAGGAACCTGGTCTGCCTGGATGGGGTGGTAGTATGGCGTGGAAATAATGAGAGGAGACTCCGTTCCCCTGATTTTGTGGCTGTTGCAATATTCGATGAAACTGACTGAAAGTGGACCTAGGGATATATTTTTTTCTGAATTTCAATTAAATCTCTTCCTCCACTACCTATTAGCTCAAGGCCCCTCACCCACTACTTGTGCCCAGATCATCAAGAATCAGGTAGGGAAAATATCCGTGAGCAGAATAAAATGTGATTGTACATGTGCACACTGATGCCATCGGAAAGGCGTAGGAAATGGGAAGCTGAGTCCATTCACACTCCATGTGAACGTGAGGACCACGCGGGGCTTGGCTGGCCCCAGAGCAAACGGATTATAGGTGACGGATAACTGAGTTAAAGAAATGAGTCAGGGCTTCCCTGGTGGCGCAGTGGTTGAGAGTCCCACCCGCCGATGCAGGGGACACGGGTTCGTGCCCTGGTCCGGGAAGATCCCACATGCCGCAGAGCGGCTGGGCCCGTGAGCCATGGCCACTGAGCCTGCGCGTCTGGAGCACAGGAGAGGCCACAACAGTGAGAGCCCCGCATACCGCAAAAAAAAAACAAAAACAAACAAAAGATATGAGTCAGCAAGCGACCACAGGTTTTGGTTTTTTTGCTCATTTGTGTCTGTTCTTTAATGGGGACTAAAGAGGACACCCCTACGAGGGAAGAATGAGGAGACTTAAACTCCATTTGCTTTTTTTGGTTTCGTTACTTGGAAAAGAAATCCTCAGAATAACACACACATCTGCCTTTCTTCCCAACTTTGATAAAAATTGACTATCTTATCTCTGCACTTTTATTTACCTATCAGTTACGTAAGTACACTTCATATCAGCGATGCTTTGAAGCTTAATATTTAAAAAAAACTTTATTGACCATTATAATGAGGAATTAAGCTTCTCAACATAATTTAGAAATACAATATGCAGGACACATCTCAGTAATTTACCTAGCTTCTGGTGTTCTAAATAAAATAGCTTATTTATGGACAAGCTAACAAGCATTTTATTAGATACCACATGAATGCCTGGACTTTTCTCACTCACGTATATTTTGCAACCTACACACTATTAAAAAAAGTAACAGGGACTTCCCTGGTGGTCCAGTGGTTAAGACTCACGCTCCCCATGCAGGGGGCCCAGGTTCGATCCCTGGTCCGGGAACTAGATCCCACATGCCGCAACTAAGAGCCCACGTACCTCAATTAAAAGATCCCGCGTGCCGCAACAAAGATCCCACACACCACAACTAAGACCCAGCGCAGCCAAATAAATAAGTAAATATTTTTTAAAAAGTAACAGTAACTCATGATCATGGAAATATTTTTCAGAGATAAATTTCATCTTATTCATTTACTTCCCCTGATTTAATTGACAGGTAAACTTGCATTTATTCCACTAGGTGGTAGTAGAGAGAGCACAGATGGAAAACAGAATAACATGCATTAAATCTATTTCTAGAAAAGAGTATCTTGATAAACCTTCAAGCAATACTTTTACTCTTAGCAAGCAGGTAAATAATAGACTAGAGTTCTTCAGTGCTGAGAAAAAAATGTGTTTATGTGTACTAACATTTTATTTTAAATTTAAGCAAGGTCAACTCATGCTCTACAAGCACTTCAAGTACTGGTGTTGATCATAGCTCAGTCACCTTCATCCTTAAATGATTATTTATGTCAAATGTCTTTTCATGAAAAGAACTATGACTTTACTGAAAATGGTCACTGCTTCATGAGTGAGAATAAATAAAATGTAACTTTATGGAAGGGAAACAGGGAAACTTTATGGAATGTAACTTTAAGGTAGGAACAGACCTAATCACCAAGTTCCCTTCCTTTATCAGGAAGGGAACTTGGTGATTAGGTCTGTTTCTACCCTCAAGGAACCATTATTTGTTCCTTTTTCTTAATTCTCCCTTCTTTCATGGAAAGCAATTTAAATTCTGCACTACTCCTACAATTAAGAGTAGTTTATGATAGTATAATATTAATCAAAAGGGACCTCCCTGGTGGCGCAGTGGTTAAGAATCCGCCTGCCAGGTGGCAGGGACTTCCCTGGTGGCGCAGCGGTTGAGAGTCGGCCTGCCGATGCAGGGGACACAGGTTCGTGCCCCGGTCCGGGAGGATCCCACATGCCGCGGAGTGGCTGGGCCCGTGAGCCATGGCCGCTGAGCCTGTGCGTCCGGAGCCTGTGCTCCGCAATGGGAGAGGCCACAGCAGTGAGAGGCCCGCGTACCGCATCCTCAATAATTACACAGTACTTTTCAGTTTCCAAGACATTCCATAGCCATTATCTCAGAAAATCCAACAATCCAGGAAGTTAAGGGTTATAATTCCTATTTTTAAGTTGAAGAAACTGAGGCTCAAATGATTCACCCGAAGTTTCAGTTATTAAGCTCTACACCCTCTACTCTTAGTCCAGAGCTCTTTTTCGATATGAGTTTGATAAAAAAAAAAAAAGTGAAATTCCCAGGATTTCCTAATGTGAAGAGAGTTCAAACCAGACCTTCCTTCTACCCTCAGCCTTCACCACAGCTCTCATAGTCTAGGCAACCCATGTTCAAACCATACAGAACCCTTCAGATTCTTCCTCAATTTTCTACTTAAAATGTATACATTGAAGCCCTGACCCCACAATGTGAATGCATTTGGAGATAAGGCTTTTAAGGAGGTAACTGAGGTTAAATGAGGTCAAAAGGATGGGGCCCTAATCCTGTCAGCCTGGAGACACCAGAGCAAGTGCACCCTGCTCCCTCCCGCACCCCTCTTCCTCCCCCAACACAGAGGAAACGCCCTGAGGGGCACAGTGACAAAGTGGACATATACAAGCCACTAAGCGAGGCTTCACCAGAAACCCACCCTGTTGGCACTTGGATATTGGACTTCCAGCCTCCAGAACTGTGAGGAAATAAATTCTGGTGTTTAAGACACCTAATCTTTGTATTCTGTCATGGCAGCCCAAGCTGACTAAGACATTCCTTCTCTGGACTTCCCTGGTGGCGCAGTGGTTAAGAATCCGCCTGCCAATGCAGGGGACACGGGTTCCAGCCCTGGTCCAGGAAGATGCCACATGCCGTGGCGCAACTAAGTCTGTGTGCCACAAATACTGAGTCTGTGCTCTACAGTCCGCGCACCACAACTACTGAGCCTGTGTGCCACGACTACTGAGCCCATGCGCCACAACTACGGAAGCCTACATGCCTAGAGCCTGTGCTCTGCAACAAGAGAAGCCACCGCAGTGAGAAGCCCACGCACCGCAATGAAGAGTAGCCCCCGCTTGCCGCAACTAGAGAAAGCCCACGTGCAGCAATGAAGAACCAACACAGCCAATGAGAAAAATCATTTGAAAACAGTCTTGAGTATTGGCAAAAACTGGGCAAAGAGTTACTGCCATTTTTGTAAAAAGAAGGATAATACTTAATATACAAACACATGTAAGCAGGTAAGAGGTGTGCATATTTATCTATATATATCTCTAGACAGATATAAGAAAAACCAGCAACAGGAATTGCTCAGAAGGAGGTGAACTGTGGACTCTGGATCAGAGTAAGAGTAGGAAGGAAACTTCCTTTCCATTGTATACTTTTGGTACTATCTGAATTTTCTAATCAAATTTTTCCCTCCCCCAAATCCCTCCTTTAAAATCCCAGAAATATACTGGCAGGTTTCATGTGAAAACTGATATTCCTAAACTCAGAAGCATTGTGAATGAACTTTAGACTTAGTGTGACTATACATGTGTTATAGAATACATATAACATATTGTAAAATATATAATACAATATATAAAATCTGGAATGATTATGTCAACTATAATTGAGAGCAGGAAAGCTGGTAGCTCAGAGGAGGAAAGGAAATGGACATGAAGGCAGATTTACATTAAAACGAGACGGGGTGTAGGAATAAACTGGGAGATTGGGATTGACATACACACACTACTAGATATAAAATAGATAACTAATAAGAACCTACTGTACAGCACAGGGAACTCTACTCAATATTCTGTAATGACCTATATGGGAATAGAATCTAAAAAGAGTGGGTATATATGTATATATATCGATATAACTGATCCACTTTACTGCACAGCAGAAACTAACACCACATTGTAAATCAACTATACGCCAATAAAAATTTTTAAAAAAAAGATTATACTTTTTCCCCCAATGAATTGTATTGACATCCTTGTCAAACTAAATTACCACAAAAAACAAAACCAGAAACAAGACGGGAAAGCACTTATTAGCTCCCATCCGAGTTACCACAACAAGCAGTCTTATTCGACCAGGCCCCATTTCTTCACCACACTGACCTACATCTATCAACACATTCATTCCATGGGTCTGACACTCCCACAAGCTCCATGAGACACTGAGTTCCATGAAGGCAGGGAGGTAGCATCCCTAGAACAGCACAGTAACCAGTGCATAAAACATGCTACAGCACAGAGGCAAGAACACAGGGGTTCTGATTTCACCTCTGTGGGCCTCAGTTTCCTCATCTCTAAAGTGATGCCAGCGGCACCTACTCACAGGGCTGCTGTCAGTCAGTGCAGGGATGGCACCAAGCATAGCGCCTGGCACTTAGGAGAACTTCACAAAGCCAGGTGATGGGGGTGATGACAGACTGGACCACTGTGTTTCATCAAAGAGAACCAGGACCTCCCTGAAAGGCAGCAGGACTTTCCTGGCATTGGCCTACGACATCTTTCAGGGAAACAGTAACTCTTTCAGCAATTCCCTAGGTTGCATATTTTCAAACTGCTCATTGCATATAAGGAAACAGGGAAATGGAATCCCAGTAAAGGAACTAGGACAAAGTGTGGTTAGCGTCTAGCATGGGGAACTCTGCAGCAGTTAGAAGTGATGGACTGGATCTACACGTAGTAACCTGGATAGAAATGAGAAACACAGCACAGAGGGAAAATGTTAAGAGACACAATGAGATGTGTAAGACAAAATCATTTATATAAATTAAAATTACAGGCATCCAAGGTAATAAGAGATACTTAAAACCCATATAAACCAAAAGAATATTCGTTCAATACATAAGAATGATTTCCAACGGCGGAAGAGGAGATGAGAGTAGGGAAGATAAAAGGGAATTAAAAAACAAAAAGAGAGGGCCTCCCTTCTGCCCAGCGATGGTAAGTGCATCGAACTGCGCGGTATCATTGTTAACCATGTGCACCAACACTCCAAAAAAGTAAAAACAAAGAGAATAAAAACAATCTTCCCCTGTAATAATGTTGAAATGGGCAAGAACAGCCTCAGGAGGATGTCCATTGTTAAGAGTGGCCTGATAGGGCTTCCCTGGTGGCGCAGTGGTTGAGAGTCCGCCTGCCGATGAAAGAATCCTAGTGACCTAGAACCCACTGGCTCCAATCCTCCAGCCAGTAGCTCACATATCAAATGTAGCCACCATGAAAAGGCAACAAGTGATAATTACCAGACTGGACTGTATAAACATTCATGTGGTGCACAAATGTTTAAACCCATATACTTCACTGAATGCTATCTGTATCATGCTCATTTCTGAATTACACGTTATTGTTTTTTCTGCCTATACCATGAATTAGAAGAGTCTAGTTGATATAAACATACCAACCAAATATAAATAGTGTTGACTCATCAGATGGTATCAGTTATTGCTTTCAATTCTTGGAAAGCAGATTTTTAAAAATTCTTGATTCTTAGGTCCAAAGCGTGATCCAACATGTAAGTTGATAGAGTGCAGTGGGAGAGGACTGCTTGGCAGGATTTTTATCACTGAGGTTCTTAAATCTGGGCAGGCATCAGAATCACCATCCAGACCTACTCGACCAGAATTTCTGGGGATTGGGATAAATATGTGTATTTTAAACAACACCTGGGTGATTCATATGCAAAAATTTGAGGGCTACCAATAGACAGGATTATTGGGACAACCAGCCAGACTATAAAATCAGATTTAAAAGCTTGTCTAACTCTAGATTATAGAATTCCAGGACTCTAAAGAATTGACTAAATCACAGAACTAGGTATGTTAGAAAACTACAGACCAACACCTTTCATGAGCGTTGACACAAAAATTCGTAGCAAAATATTTGCACGAAGTGAACACAGCAAGATATAATGTGAATTGTTCACCATGAGCAAGTATGATTTAGCCAATGAATACAAGGTTGTTTTAACATCTAAAAATGAGTTAATATAATACGTTAGAATAAAGGACAAAACCACATAATCATGTCAAGACATTTAGAAAAAGCATTCAACAAAATCCAACCTGCATGCATGACAAAAACTCTCAACAAACTAGGAATAGAAGAATCAGATCTCAGAGTGGGAAAGCACCTCAGGATACCTAGAAGGTAGTGCTTTGAGATTAGAAACGTTTCAACAAAATTAAAAAATTACTTCTTCTTAGTCTGAAGTTAAATAATAATATTTAAAAACTCAGCAATATTAAAATGTCAGAAACTTAAGGAGAAGATGACTTTTTAAATTGTCCCAATTCTTTAAAGCTTATGAGGAAGACTGCAATTCATGAAATTCATTATGTAGGCTCTCAATAGTATTTCAAAAGGCATCAAAAAGGATCCCAAAGGACCACTTAGGTACTTATCCTCTGGCCTTACTGCTGGCATTCATACGACCTAGTGGAAAATCTGGTAACCATACAATTACCTCGTAGAGAGCAGAATGGTTAGACTATAGCAAAAGCTCCGTCTCCTTGCCCCTATCCTTGAAGATCTCCATATGCCACACACCCCCTCACCCCCCCCCCCCACATTCAACTTCCCCCATCAATTATCTCTCATATCACCCATTCTCCATAAGGCCAACCCTACCCAGTAGAGGAAGGAGATAGGGACAGGGTCTTTATATTTTATATCACATATTCACCCGCACAGATGGCCTTGGCCACTCCAGGCATGTCCTTCCTTTGCAAGGGCACCAACCAATAGACTGTGAGCTACTGGGAGATCTCACAGCCATGTTGTTTAAACCTGTTCCCCTAGCTCCCAAGTGCCTCCCCTAATATCCACCGTGAACTTTATTTCCAACATTTTCTGTGGGGGAAGAGGGCCCTCCACTCCCTCTCCTTACCAAGTAATCCCAAAACATGAGGAAAATGAAGATAAAAAAGTAGCAGCTCTCCTCCAAATTTCAAAATCATTACCACTCTTACCTCGGAGGAGCACTTACCTGGCCTTACACCGCTAAGCTGAGGAGATCATGGTTAGTCTTGATTAGCAGAAGGCAAACAGCCTCGCTCATTTCTTTACTTATTTATGTTGGTGTCTGTGGCTGTGTTTGTACCACAGTGGTAGAGCTGATAAGTGACAGAAACCATATGGCTCACAAAGTTTAAAATACTGACTATCGGGCCCTTTAAAAAAATGTTTACAGTCTTAATAATCAGGGGAAAGGAGCATTAATGATGCTACTGGGGGGGCTATTTTCAAACTACATACTAGAAGTTTCAAGCATAAACAATGATAACTCCCCCACCAAAGTACCCCAAAACAGGAAGTCAGTCTGCACCTCAGTTCCAATGAATGTAGGACGAATATACAGACTTGCAGATGTTGAGTAGGGGACCCATTCCTGATCCAATTTCACAAGCTGCTGAATACACTCTAAAAGCTCTTCCTTGTCAAATGCCTGAAGGAATGAAAAACATAATGAATAATGCAATGTTCTTCCATTGTAGCAGTAAGGAATGATCCTCATGAAAGCTTTGACTATTAAAAAAGTAATAATAGGGAATTCCCTGGTGGTCCAGTGGTTAGGACGGGGTGTTTTCAGTGCAGTGGCCCTTTTTCAATGCTGGTCGAGGAATTAAGATCCCACAAGGCCGTGCAGTGCGGGCAAAAAAAATTTTTTTTAATTATAAAATAATAAGGGGCTTCCCTGGTGGCGCAGTGGTTAAGAATCCACCTGCCAATGCAGGGGACACGGGTTCGAGCCCTGGTCCGGGAAGATCCCACATGCCATGGAGCAATTAAGTCCGTGCGCCACAATGACTGAGCCTGTGCTCTAGAGCCCGCAAGCCACAACTACTGAGCCCGCGCTCCACAACAAGAAGCCCGTGCACCACAACGAAGAGCAGCCCCCGCTTGCCGCAACTAGAGAAAGCCTGTTTGCAGCAATGAAGACCCAATGCAGCCAAAAATAAAAATAATAAATAAATTTATTAAATAATAATAATAAATAAATAAATATTTTAAAGTAATAATAATAAACCCAAACAACAATTCTTTTTTCTGTGACTTTTCCCCAAACTGTGATGGAATGAGAGATTATCCACATGAGGAAGATAAAAAAGTGGTTCCCTACTTCTTACCATACCCAAATACCAACTGTAGTTGGATTATACACTTAAACGTGAGAAAACATTAAGACTTTTATAAAAAAACATACAAAATATCTCTGTCACCTTAAAGTAGAATTCTTAAATAAAAGACACAAAGCATAAATCATAAAGGAAAAAAATGGACAAAATCTGACTATTTAAAACTTAAGAACTTCTATTCTTCAAACGACGTAAGTGACACACTGGGTGAACTTATTTGTAACATAACCAACAAAGGATCGTAACAGGAAAATGTTAAGATAACCTGAAAATCAGTAAGAAAGAGACAGATGATCCAACAGGAAAATGGGCAAAAGCAAAGAGTAGTTTACTTCTAAGGTGAAAAAGGGTTTTATATACTAGATGGGTGACAGTTTGTAAAATAAGTAGTTTCTATTCACTTGGTAGGGCAAAGAAACATACTTTCAGAGATGCTATGGGTTATCCAAGGTAGAAAATGAGTCAGAAACACACAGGATTTGGCTCTTTAAATACTAACTTACAACAGCAATCATAGTGTGGTAATGTTATAGAAATCGGGATTGCCAGTCATATAGGACATACCACCTCCCTGATACTGCTGTCTAGATGTAAGATTTAGTGGAAAGAACTTCACTAGGGATTTTAAAACTTACATCCCTAGTGAAGCTCTTGCCCTGTCCCATTAGTCTGTGTCATCTGAGGCAAGTCATTGAACCTCTGTGGGCTTGAGTTTTCTTCTCTGTACAAAGGTGCTGCTAAAATGTACAATACATACCTTCTTGACAACAGCTTACTGTTACGATTAAAATGGCAAGGAATGTAAAACCACATAACACAGTTTGTGGCAGTTGCTGTCCAATAAATGTTACTTCCCTTTCCTTCTGTCCTCATTTTAAAGGATTTCCCAATGATTTGTCTGTAATGGGTAAAGAGTGGAACTAGGACGGAGTCCAAAGAAATTTCCTGAATTTCCCTTCTGCCTCTGAAGAAGGTCGGTGAAGCGTGTGTTATAAAGGGAAGAAGGAAGGGCTTCCCTGGTGGCGCGGTGGTTGAGAGTCCGCCTGCCGATGCAGGGGACACGGGTTCGTGCCCCGGTCCGGGAAGATCCCACATGCCACGGAGCGGCTGGGCCCGTGAGCCATGGCCGCTGAGCCTGCGCTCCGCAACGGGAGAGGCCACAACAGTGAGAGGCCCACGTACGGCAAAAAAAAAAAAAAAAAAAAAAAAGGAAGGAGGAAGAGCCTGGCTAAAAAGGAGCCATCACTTGGGCTTCTTCAATGCACAACTGAAGGTTAGGGACAAAGTATGTCAAGGGGGAAAAGACTTCTTTCAGTTCAGAAAGACAGCCTGGTCAAATCTCAGGGAATGAAAGTAATCTAAGTCACCTCCTACCTAGACATGAACCTTAGGGTCTAAATCCAACCCACCTTAGAATGAATTCTGCTCCATAAAAAACAATGTTACAGCCAGGACCCAGTGGCCATGAGAAACCATTTTATATATCCTTTCTTTTTTTCTTTAAATAAAACTTGGGCTAAAATATCTAAACAACTACTTAAATCACTGCATACTTGCTAGTGTCTTAAGCAGTTAGGCAAAACATCCCACATATATCTGTGCAGTACACTGTATTTTCATATCATAATTTCATACGGTCTTTAAATTTTCTTATTTCAGTTTGAGGCATATTTTTCTTCCTTATCCCATTATCTCCCACAGACACTCATAAAGAAACAGATTGAGGAGTTGCCAAATGGTTATTTCCTTGTATTTTTAACTCACTGATTAGAAAACAGATCAGAAAGAAAGTCAGTACTCACATGGTTTATACCAAATACTGATGTAAGTATTCAGAAATGGTTTGTCTGGTGGAATTCAGTGGCCCATTACAGCAAGAGAAACACAAGAGAAACTCCTAAATATACATACCGGCAAAGTGGCCCTCATAGCAGACCGGTACATTCTATCCATGTTGAGGCTCGGCCGAAACAGACGAATTTTATTATCTACTCCCCGAAATGCCTTCAATCCTTCAAATAACTGAAGATAAAAGAGAAATAAATGTTACAAGGTAACTAAATGAAAACAATCCCTGTGTTCAAAAGACTGACTTTTCTATGGGCCCTCATCTCCTTTACCATGTAAAGCTACTGACACAGACCCTAAATCTAGAAAAGCCGGACAGACTGGTTACAGTCACTGGGATCATAAGAAGTCCCTTTATTACCAAGATCTGGTGGGAATTCAGAGCTATCCTTTGCTTAACAGGAGCCAGATGTTAACACACATCAGTGGAGGCTGGCAGAAAACATCTCCACACAACATGGACTGACTGACTGCCTAGAAAATAGAAATGGAATCAAAGGCCCCGCAGTACCCGGCCCCCAATCCACCCCCAAACACCCATGTATCTTTTCATTTTATCTGGCTCCTATGAACTCTGGAGAGCGGGTAATCTAGATGTGACCAGAGCTGGTTCAGTCTCCCAAATCACAGAAACCAAGCAGGTCAAGACTACACTATGTTAGGGCCATGCCACCTTCTCAGGGAGCTGCCACAGACAAACATGGGCAGGGACGTGAAAAGGCTTTGAATTTAGTGCATACTGACAAATACAGAGAAAAGAGGAAAATCAATCATTTTAAAGGGAATTTTTTTCTGTGATAACCTACATAAGAAAAGAATCTAAAAGAGGATGAATGTATGTATATGTGTAACTGAATCACTTTGTTGTACATCTGAAACTAACATAACACTGTAAATCAACTACACTGCAATAAAATTAAAATTAAAAAAAAAAGGGAAATTTTTACCACAGGTTCTCTAAGTAATTGATAGAACAAATAGGCTAAAACATGGTAAAGATATGGACAATTTGAACAAGAACAACAAACTAACCTAATGGACACACAGAGCCCTGCGCACACCACCTGTAGAAGGCATGTTCTTTTCACATGTTTTCTGACCTTAAGATAAGCTAGGTATCAAAACCAAAACTATAACCCCAAGATATCCACATTTTGGAGAAGAAGAAACCCATTACTTAATATTAAGTGTGAGTCAAAGAAGAAAAATGATGGAAATTAGAAAATATGTTGAACTGAATGAGAATGAAAAGGAGGGCCTTTAGATGCTTACAGCCTTAAAGCTTACGTGAGAAAAGAAATATAAATCCTGGAGCACAATTAAAAAGCAAAAAATGAGATGTTTTGTTGAAGTGCAAATATATGGGTAATTTTTTAAATGTAGTAGGACTAAAGCCTTAGTTAAAAGATATGGTTGTCAGATTAACTCAGCTGATAACATCTGAAACCCAAAAAAGCACAGAGAGCAATATATCATACAAATACTTTTTAAAATAAAGCTGGTGAGGCTATATTGCTAAATATAAAACAAAAGACTTTCAGGCAAGAAGCTTTACTGGAGATAAAGAAGGTAACTTCGTAGAGTTCAATTTACTTCCCGGTTTAAAAATTATACACATTTGATATAGGTTCAAATTTATGCAAAGACTGTATGATAATCTCACTTGAAAAATACAGATGCAAAATACACAAAGGATAACACAGCCTAACTCAGCTGGATTTATCCCAGTAATAGAAGTTGGGTTTAACATTAGAAAATACAGTAATGAGATTCATTATATTAAGAGTTTATGTGGAAAAAACTATATGATCAATCTCATTGTAATAAATGCATCTGATAAAACTGAACATAAGTTTATGATTTTTTAAAAAATTTCCTGGATAACTAAGAAAAAAGGAATCTTCCTTATGTGAGAAATAAACTTGTAGCAAACGCTATACTTAAAGTGGTAAATTTTTTTTAATTGAACTATAGTTGATGTACAATGTTGTGTTAGTTTCAGGTGTACAGCAAAGTGATTCAGTTTTTTATATATATATATATATATATATATATATATATATATATACACACACACACACATTATATATTCTTTCTCAGATGTTTTTCCATTATAGATTATTACAAGATATTGAATATAGTTCCCTGTGTTATATAGTATGTTCTTATTGTTTATCTATTAAAATGGTAAAATTTAAAGCTTTCCTTTCAGATCGAGAACATCACACACTGCCTGCTGCGACTACTGTAATTCAATATTGTACTACCAATATAATAATAATAAAATAAAAAGCATAAAGTTAGGAGAAGAAAAAAAATAAAACTGTCATAGATCATGCAACACAGATAAGATTAAACGTAGAAAATACACAAAAACTGATATAATCTTTTGAAATTATCTGTTTAGGCAAGGTAACCAGATACAAGATTATATTCCCATGTAACAGCAGCAGTTAGAAAATACAAACACTATTTACGGTAGAATTAAAAGGAATCCTTAAGTGGGGAAAATCTAAGGTAAGTGAAAGACCCATAAGGAAACTATAAAATTTTACCAAGTCATTAAAGACGTAACTAAATGTAGAAAGCAATCCGCCACTCATAGATTGAAAGATTCAATATTATAAAGACTCTCTCCAAATTGATTTATATATTTAATGCAATCCAAATGAAAATCATGTCAGGGCATTCATTTTTCTTGTAACAAACTGAATGACAAAAGTTGACTGACATGATAAACTGAATCTAAAAGTAATATGGAAAAGAAAATGACCAAGAAATATCCAAGGCCCTCTTGAAGAAACAGAAGGATTTGTCCTAGCAGACATCCAGACTCATTATAATGATTTGGAGATAAAGACAGTGCGGCATTTGTCCAGATAGACAAGCAAAATGATGAAACAGAATAGAGACCCAGATAGACAAGACAATGGAATGCAAGTGGAGATCGAGAAGCAGACCCATGCGTATATGTTAAGATGTGACATAATGTATCAGGAGGAAAAGAACAGTCTTTTTAATGGTGCTGGGACAATTGGGTATCTGTAGGGGAAAAAAAAAAATTGGACCCTACTTCATACAAAAATCAACTTCTGAAATTAAAGCCCTAACTGTGAAGGACAAAAATCAATAATATAGGAAGATGTCTTCATAATCTAGGAATAGAAAAAGAGTCTTTAAGCAAGACACAAAAGGACCAAACATAAAGCAAAGATTGATAAATTCAACTTTTTAAAATTTAAATGTATTTCTTGTCATCAACAAATTCTGGAGAGAATAAAAAGTGTCAAAAAAGATACTTAAAACACATAACTGATAAAGGGACCCATATCTAAAATATATAAAGTACTTCTACAGATCAAAAAGAAAGGGAACACAATAGTGAGCAAAAGATGGAAACAAGCAGGGACTTCAAATAAAGAGATATCCATTGAAATAAACATCACAATAATATGCCATTGCATTAAACTGGCTAAAAATTTAAAATCAGGTTATACTCAGAGTTGGCAAGGTTGATGAGTCATGGTTGAATGTGGTTGCTAATTCATGGCTGGTGGGTGTAAAAACTGGTAAAATCACTATGGAAAATAGTTACCCTTTTTGTGTAAAAATGAAGTTAATATCCAGTACCAGCAGCATATTCCTAGACCCTTAAGCAGCATTTCTCAAATTTTTTGGTGTCAGGATGTCTTTACACTCTTAAAAATTATAAAGGTCCCAAAGAGCTTTTATTTATAAGGTAATTCTATCAATATTTACCATTATCAGTAGTGAGAAATTTTAAATTTATTTATTTATTAACAATAAACTATGACATGTTAAAATATTTCCCAAGAGAATGAATGTTAAGTGTGGCATTGTTTTAAAATTATTGCAAATCTTTAATTTTTGGCTTAACAAAAGACAACTGGATTCTCATATCTGCTTTTGCATTCAATCTCTTGCAATGTTGTTTTGGTTGAAGTACACAAAGAAAACCCAGTCTCATATAGATATGTGGTCGAGAAAGGTAGTATTTTTGATAACCTTTTCAGATAATTGTGGATTTTCTTCTCTGATACTCCTCCAAAACTTGGCAAGTGGCAGTCCCTTAAAGGTTAGTTACACTGTGGAATCAAACCCCATCAATGAGGTTTTCATACTCTGTTAATTCCTTAAAATTCAACGGTGCGGCAGTCAGAGTTCAACTGAGAAGAAAGAGAACGGGTAGAAATACGTAAAACAGGGACTTCCCTGGTGGTGCAGTGGTTAAGAATCCGCCTGCCATCGCAGGGGACATGGGTTCGATCCCTGGTCTGGGAAGATCCCACGTGCCACGGAGCAACTAAGCCTGTGCACCACAACTACTGAGCCTGCGCTCTGGAGCCCGCGAGCCACAACTACTGAGCCCGTGTGTCCAGAGCCCATGCTCCGCAATGAGAAGCCCGTGCACTGCAACAAAGGGCAGCCCCCGCTCGCCGCAACTAGAGAAAGCCCACACACAGCAACGATGACCCAACGCAGCCAAAAATAAATAAATTTATTTTAAAAAAGAAAAGAAATACGTATGACATTTACAGATTTATTAGAATAAAATGCCCAACGCATTTGTGGAGGCTGGCTAAGCAAAGTCCAAAATCTGTAGGACAGGCTGTGAGAAGGAGAAGATCGCAAGCAGGCTGGACCCAGGAGGTGTGGGCTGCAGTCCATCTGCAAGTGAGTCAGGAAGGAGGGGCAGCGGAAGAGATTGAGTGCATGTGTAGGCCTAGCTGCTGCGTGGAAGTCCTGAGGTCAGGCTCACCCAGAATAATCTCCCTTTTGATCAACTTCAAATCAACTAATTAGGGACTTTAACCCCATCTGCAAAATTCCTTCAAACAGCACCTAAATTAGTGTGTGACTGAATAACTAGAAGAAGGCGTGTGTACGCAACAAAACCGCCACTGCCTTCCTATGTCCTCCAGTGCTCACAAGAGAATGTCCTTGTAGTCCATCCCCAGCAGGAGATGAAAAATGTTATTCTGGGGACTGTGGTTCAGAATAAGCAAATGAACACATCAAAAAGTCATCATAGGGCTTCCCCGGTGGCACAGTGGTTGCGAGTCTGCCTGCTGATGCATGGGACACGGGATCTCTTGAAAGGGGAGCCCAGGGGTCTGTGGACCGCACTTTGAGAACTGCTGATTTAAAGAAACATGTATACAAGCACACCAGCATACTATGTACAAGAATGTTCACAGAAAAGGAAACCACACAAGCGCACGTCAACAACAGACTGAATATATTCACATAACGGAATCCTATTGCTTCAAGGAGCATATGATGTGGTACCTACCACTCTTTGACCCAGATAACCTGGGCCTCTGCCCGGAGCCTCACACTTTAGAGGGCCTGTCACCCCTGTCTTTCTCCAGCTGTGACCCCCTTGGAGCAAGTAGTTGGCTGAATCCTTTTTCTAGACAGACTCCAAGTACTCAGTTCCCCAGAATTCCCTACCCAAATGGCCCTGATCCTATTTTCAGGGCCTCAATGGGCATCCTTGGTTTCATCCTCTTAAGAACAGACAGGACTACTAGGATGTCCACATCTAAGTCCAAAGATGGCCAAGGGTCATCCATTTGCAAGTGGTGTGGGCATCTACGTGTGTGTGCGAGGCCCCCGGTGGTACAGGATGGAGCCAGGACAGAAAAAGATAGAGGGTGGACTTTGGGGTGGCTCTGCTTGTACATTTGTCCCAGGACCCACAGATATTAGGGTTGGTCCTGGATGCTTAGAGCTCACATAACACTGAGCTCAAACAGGGTCACGGGCGCACGCACGCACACACACACACAAACACACATGCATGCACACTATAATTCCACTTATGCAAAGTTCAGAAAGAAGCAAAAAGAAGTGTTAGAGATACATACAATCCAAAAAGAAAAGCAAAGCAAAGTTACCACAAAAGTAAGAATAACGAGCGCCAGAAGATACAGGGTTTATGATGCGGAAGGGACACGAGAAGGCTTCTGGGATGCTCAAAGGGTCCAGGTCTATTTCCTTGCTCGGGTGGTAGCTACGTGGGCACTCATTCATAAGTATTCATTAAATAGTACATGTTTTCCAGTTTTTCAAATTACATTTTATCTCACTAAAGATTAATATCAACCTGAAAAATGAAGTAACTGTAATAAAATTGCATTTTCTTTCATCCGGGTTCCCTACTCACACTTCACATGTCTCTCCTTCACTTTTCGAAATCTTCACATATTTATCAAAAAATACTTGTGAAATCAACAAAACCACATGTAATTGTAGCTCTAAAAATAAAATCAATAGGATTCTAAAATCAGTAGGGCTGATGAGTGGAGGAGAAAGAAATCCAAGGAGATTATTCGTATGTTCACTTTTGGATTAAAATAATATGACCACAGACAGGCTTTGAGCCCAGGAAGTTTGACTCCAGAACCTGAATAATTAACCATATGCTTTTTCACTTAAAACAATTAAATGAAATGACCCGTATAAGATACCTAGGTACAGGGCATATTGCAGGATTTCAATAAACAAATGTAGTTATTTTATCATTATCATTCTGAATATTTACTATTACCACCTTTTAGTCTCCTAGTAAGTAGGCCATTGCTTCATTTCTATACCCCAATATTCTTAATGTGTTTTAATTTAACACAATAAAAAAGAGTAAAATATACTGGGGTCAAGGGAATGGGGAGTGTATTTGGCTAAGTGTGTATCCTGAGAAGGACCAGAGAAGCACCCTCTAACTATTTAATATTTTATGCTTATAATTATCCCACTCGTGCCTGAAGGATGACATTTAATTACATGTCCCTTAACATGCCTAACTACAAGCTATTGCTGTCATAAAATCATGCAGTTAGCATTAAAATTAAATATAATATTGTACTCAATGACCTCTCCTCAATCATTAGAAGATCTAAGAGAGGTGATTTAGTGAAATATTAACAGTACAGGCTTTTTGGTTGCTAATTTTTTTGCCAACTGTCATTCCCATTTGCTCTAAGTAAGTTTTTAAATGATATTATAAGCCGATGTCACAAGTTCATGTGCACATTTATATTTTTATTTCTGTATACCCTACAGCGTGCTTACCAGCTACATGATTTTTAATTGAGATTTAAAAAAATTCAAGATTATCTGAAAATTTAGTTCTTAAGACTTACCCTCAATACAACTGTTTACAGGCCATTTATGATTGCCTCTAGTTAATATGGTAAAGCCCTGCTGCCCTAAAGCTATTTGAGCGGGGGAGCTACTTAGTAACCCCAGTGAAGACCAAGCATGTCGCCATCATTAATTCCCAAGTACTTACTTCCACTGCATAGTGGAAAGCCGACGAACCTGGATGCAATGACAGGTTTTGAAGAGGCTTGATGTGTGGTTTCTCCCATCCAAACTCCGAGGACCACTCCACTGTTAACATGTGATCCGTAAAAACCGTTCCAAAAACCAGAGTATTGGGGTCTGGTTTTTCCTTTAAAACGGTGGCTGGTGTGATTATTAGATCTTTAGCCTGGGGAAGAAAATCAGCACCATTAAAGAAAAGTAACTGAACATCCATGGCTAGATGAGACAGAGGGTAAAAAGACAGATACAATTTAAGTCACTGGCCGTCATTTGACTTTTAAATGTTGGCAACTAACGCAGAAACTTAACACTGTGTGAGAGAAGCAAATCATGCCTGCATTCAGAATTTGGACTGTTGTTTAAAATCTCTTCAATGTAGGGAATTCCCTGGCGGTCCAGTGGTTAGGTCAGGGAGCTAAGATCCAGAGGCCGCAGGGTACAGCAAAAAAAAAAAAAAGAGAAATCTCTGCAAGGTATACTGCCGAACAAATATCAGAACCAAAATTCAGTGGCATTTAGAAACAGGGACCAAAGAGTAGATGGAGTTAAATGACGCTAAAAGAACATATCTCTTCTTCACTCCCACCATAGAACCCATGTGGATCCTTCGAGAAAGAAGAAAGAGGGGTCTTAGAATGAAAACAGCAACACTCACAATGACTTGTTAAACTAAAAAGAATGTCATTAAGAACTGCCGCTCTTGGGATGGTTATACTCCAGCTCCCCCAAAGAATTCTTGGCAGAAGGCTTCCAAAACCCTCTGGGTGCGTCGTAGGGGACAGGCAGCAAGCAGAGTGAAGCAAATGTTTTCCTCGTTGAAAACAGAAGTAGAGATTGAACACTAAGATATAAATCCTCTATTCTGTATTGAGGAAACAGTGAACAAAGGACCCCTTATTCAAAGAAAGATAAATAAGAGTAATAGGAAACAACTTCACACAGCCCCATTTCACCAGCTCTCCACAGCCGGCTTGCTTATTACAAATGGCCAACACGTAAGCATCCGGATCATAGACAATAGCACCACTAACTATACAATAGCGGTAGAATACTGACAAAAACCACAGGGGAAGGAGCTTTTAGGACACTTAAAAACAACACTAACCAAGGACAAGTTCAAGCTGTTAATAGGTTCTAAGGAAGATCAGACTCCATTTCTTTCTATACACAAAAGTAGTCATTGGCCCCCAAAATCAAATACAGAATCTCACTTCGTATCACCAGCTCTGATCATTATTTTTCAAATAATCTAATTACTTCGGATTAATTCACTGCTTTATAGCTGCTTTAGTCATTTGATATATTATGAATGATAGTTATTTTTAGAAAAACATTTAGGCTACAAATGTTATTTACTTTTTGTTTGTTTAACTTTTTATGTTATCTTGGAGTATAGCCGATTAACAATGTTGTGATAGTTTCAGGTGCACAGTAGAGGGACTCAGCCATACATATGCATGTATCCGTTCTCCCCCAAACTCCCCTCCCATTCAGGCTGCCAAATAACATAAAAATGGTATTTATTTCAAAACAACCAGAAAGCTCACATTACAAAGTATAAGGCATTAAGGACAACATATTAACTGTAATTTTCAGGCCAGTCTAGTAACGCTACTTTGGAATATGCCAGTAAAATGCAAAACTTTGGGGAAAAAATTTCTTCTATCAGTACTTAATCCAAGTAAGTAAGTTAACCTAAAACCCTTTACTAAAGTGCAAGAAAATAAATTTATTCCAGCTAAATTGTTTTGATCTTTGAATTCCATTTCTCTCCCCTTACCCTCTAGACTAGGTACAATGTTGGGAAAATTTCACCTGATGGCATGGTCCATTAGCTGTGACAGAAACCTAATGACCCTCAAGCAAAAAATATTTATTATCTGGCCCATTCAAAAAGCTTGCCAATCCTTCTTGACTGTTTAGATAAGAAATCTGGGGCTTCCCTGGTGGCGCAGTGGTTGAGAGTCCGCCTGCCAATGCAGGGGACATGGGTTCGTGCCCCGGTCTGGGAAGATCCCACATGCCGCGGAGCGGCTGGGCCCGTGAGCCATGGCCACTGAGCCTACGCATCCGGAGCCTGTGCTCTGCAATGGGAGAGGCCACAACAGTGAGAGGCCCGCGTACCGCAAAAAAAAAAAAAAAAAGAAATCTGGCTAGAGTATTTGCAGTTAAATCTCCAGCCCTAGCACAGTGCCCGGCACACACAGCAGTAAAGTTTTCTTAAATGCTGAAAATAACTTTGGTTGATTTCAGATGCACTCCGTAATGAATGACAGACTCATTCACAGAAGATGGCCGGGATTTAAAGTGAGTGAAATTCTAACATAAACTTTTTATTACATGAATGGTTTCACAGTATTCTTCCACAAGGAAGTACCTGTGCTTTTGCTTTAGTTAGTTTTTTTGAAAAAGTGGCTGGGGGGATCCTGGGCTAAGAAAAATCTAGAACTATATCAATATAGTAAGACAAACTTAATGCAAAATTTTACCTATTAACACTATTAATAAAAGTTTCTTAATAACGGGAGAGCAGTAAGATACAAAACAAAAGCAGAAAGATGAAAGTAGGTGAAAATGTAGCAGAGAGAGTGAGAAGGGGTGAGTTTTTTATCCCTGAATTCTGGATACATCTGAAATACTGCAAAGGTAACAGACCTTAGCTTTTTTTTTTTCTTTTTCAGTGACAAAACCAGTAATTTGCATGGTTCTTCAAAAGTAAGATAGGGAGGGAGGAAAAAAAAAAGTAAGATAGGGCTTCCCTGGTGGCACAGTGGTTGAGAGTCCGCCTGCCGATGCAGGGAACACAGGTTCGTGCCCGGGTCCGGGAAGATCCCACAAGCCGCAGAGCAGCTGGGTGCGTGAGCCATGGAAGCTGAGCCTGCGCGTCCGGAGCCTGTGCTCCGCAACAGGAGAGGCCAAAACAGTGAGAGGCCCGCGTACCGCCAAAAAAAAAAAAAAAAAAAAAGATAAAAAAAAATCTCAACCTCCCATCTGCTATTTCTTCCTTTTTTTTGGCCATGCCCCACAGCTTGCGGGATCTTGGTTCCCCAACCAGGGTTCAAACCCGGGCCCCGGGAATGAAAGTGTAGAGTCCTAACCACTGGACCACCAGGGAATTCCTCCACCTGCTATTTCTAACATTAGCTAAACAATTCTATCATTACCAAAGAAGACATACAGATGGCCAACAAATACATGAAATGATGCTCAACATCACTAACCATTAGAGAAATGCAAATCAAAGCCACAATGATGCAAATCAAAACCACAAAAATGCAAGTCAAAACTACAATGAGGTATCTATCACCTCACACCAGTCAGAATGACCATCATCAGGAAACCTAGAAACAATAAATGCTGGAGAGGGTGTGGAGAGAAGGGAACCCTCTTGCACTGTTGGTGGGAATGTAAATTGATACAGCCACTATGGAGAACAGTACGTAGGTTCCTTAAAAAACTACAAATAGAACTACCATATGACCCAGCAATCCCACTATTGGGCACATACCCTGAGAAAACCATAATTCAAAAAAGTCATGTACCAAAATGTTCATTGCAGTTCTATTTACAATAGCCAGGACATGGAAGCAACCTAAGTGTCCATCAGCAGATGAATGGATAAAGATGTGGCACATATATACAATGGAATATTACTCAGCCATAAAAAGAAACGAAACTGAGTTATTTGTAGTGAGGTGGATGGACCTAGAATCTGTCAGAGAGTGAAGCAAGTCAGAAAGAGAAAAACAAATACCGTATGCTAATGCATATATATGGAATTTTAAAAAGCGGTACTGATGAACCTAGTGGCAGGGCAGGAATAAAGACTCAAATATAGAGAATGGACTTGAGGGCATGGGGGTGGGGAAGGGGAAGCTGGGATGAAGTGAAAGAGTAGCATTGACATATATACACTACCAAACGTAAAATGGATGGCTAGTGGGAAGCAGCTGCATAGCACAAGGAGATCAACTAGATGCTTTGTGACAACCTAGAGGGGTGGGATAGGGAGGGTGGAAGGGAGACCAAAAAGGGAGGGGATATGGGGATATATGTATACACATAGCTGATTCACTTTGTTGTACAGCAGAAACTAACACAAGATTGTAAAGCATTTATACTCCAATAAAGATGTGAAAAAAACAAACAATTCTATCATTAGCTAATCAACAAGAAGCAAACCACACAGGGTCCATCTACCTTTCAGGATTTCTAGGCTTTCCAGTAACCCTACCTGCCATGAAACCAATAGGCAATGGAATATATACAACTTTATTCCAACAACAATCTGCATAGAATATTTTAAAAACAAGACTATGGCTTTGCCTCATATCAAACTGTAGGGTGATTCTTTTTATTTTTTCCTTCCCTCACTCTTCCTTCCTCACCTGCTTTATTATTCTTAGTATTTTGCCTTTTTATTCACTCAGTGAACACTGCACCAGCACAGTGGCTCAGGCAGTGCACTAAACAAGCACAGCAAATACCAAGATGCAAGGGCTCAGCCTTCCTTCTCAGGCACACTTGCTGCCGGCCAAAGACAGGTGGCAGCCTCTGTGAACAAGTGTTATTCATTCATTCTGTTACGAAGGTTGTCGCCCCAGAATCATACCCCTTCCCCTCCCTCGAATAGAAACCAACAGAAACTCATCTAAGTTTCAGGACGAAGCTGAAAGAAAAAAACAAGAACTGCTTAGAACCAAGTAGGCCCAAGATGGAGGAAGATGTGACTTCCACTAGACCCTGGGCCCCATTATACGCTCATTGTAATAAGTTAGCTAAATGCCACCCTCACCAGCACCAGGACAGTTGACGATTGCCATAACAACCGGAAAAGCACGAAAAGCGCGGACAAGGACTGAAAAGGAGAGCTGCATCAGTTCTGGGTTCAAATCACACCCCTGTTCTCATATAACTCATGAATATTCCTCCCACTCTTTCCAATTCCCTCCCTTTTAGCTTGACCCTCCTATACAACCCGCCCAACTTGGGTTGAGAAGTTGATTAATGAACTAGGTTCCCACTTCTCCATTCTTTAACCACTGAATGAAGCTTGTGCTGTTCCAATCTCAGCGCTGGTTTTGTTATTGGCTGCACAATCTGATTGGAAAAAGAACCTCCCCGGGGGAAAAACTGGGGTCTTGGCCCAGGCTAGGACCCCGGCAA